CGAGGAAACAATATACACAAGGTCTATTCATTTAACTGGCTAATACATGTACATGTACAAGCATGAACCATGTAATTGGTATATTGTCAGCTAACAAAACCACACAGTTTGTATCATTTGACCATTTTGTCATTGAACACCCACTTAATACCCAATCGAGGAAGCAATTAACCATTTGACATTTTGACAATCAACCTAACTACTTAATCCTATTTACTGGCAGTTCTTAGCTATTAATTCATTGTCGATTGTTGTATTGAAAGCGTGCAATGTCTCTTAAAATGCCAGTTGTTATTGCTTTCGTCCCAGGCATGGTAATAGCATTAATGTGGGAGGCCATTACGCAGGTAGCTGTCTGAATGCATGATTAGTGATGGCTGTCTTGATGAATGAGTGAAGATGGACGTTACTCTATTGAGACCTGACATGAATGGATTGATAAACAGCTGGATGTAACCTGCTGAGAGAAGATCAGGCTCCATTGAACATATGATGTCATAATGGCACAAATCACTTTCTTTGTTATTTTAGTGTTGAAATTAGCCCCTGACAGGTCAACACGTACATGTACATGATACAATGTGCTGATCGAATTATTTCATTCCACCGAGAGAAAACAATCCATGTTTAGTTATAAATTTTACTACGCCGCATGACTACACTCAGGAAAAACATCACATCTCTGAATTTCACAAAAGCTTAACATCACATCTTAAAAATCCCTTTAAACAGGTCTTCGATCTGTATACAGTATGATGTACACATACACTGTATATCCATCAAACAACCATGGCACAGTGACCAGTGTCAAAACTAGCAGACTCCAGCTTCAAAACAATATTGGAGTATTTACAAATATTAATCTATAATTCCTCCTCAATTCATGCATATGTTGGACTCATGGGGCACCATGCACACCCCTAGGTTGGATACTATACACATCATTGTAAAAATATTCAATAGATCTCAATGTGGAGTGAACAAGCCACATTAAATTGTAAAATTTGACACATTAAAATAATTAGTTTTTATATACATGTACAGTACATGTAGTGGAGATTCGCATCTGTTACCAATCACAAATACACTGTATACCTGTAGGTTTTCACCCAGCTCTGTATCTTATCCCTCCCATGTACCAGCTTGGTAAGTTATGTCCATCGGAAATGCATCGCATCATGTACGTATGAGGTAGACAGGCATGTATGGTATGCTAATTATCAGAAAGAGAGAGATTGGCCTAGCTGATAGAGTTGCAGTCCTCTACCAAAGACGATGATAGATAAATTCCAGTTGTGATAAAGCTGAGAATGCAAATCATCCACGCTGTGAAGATAGTGTAGATATGAATTGCCTTTAGCTACTGATCAGCTACCCAGTTAACAGACAAACTGATTTTTAGATTATACTAAAGGGAAGTGTTTAAAAGCTTGGAGCTGCAAATGTAGAAGAGAATTGAAACTAATGTATAATTGAATTAAATCTCCCACTATATGGGAGTTGTTGTTTTTGTCTGTTTGTTTTTTCTAAGGGAGTACATTAGCTTTCCAGGGCTTGTCTTTCTCCTTTCCTCATATTTAAAATGGGTTTAAAAATTGTGATGGTTTATAAAATGTACCATCGCTTAATTATCTAATATATGGAACAATGGTTACTGTATCAAAAACCAATATGAAAAGGCAGGATAAAATGGTTACTTCAATTAAAATTTCTTGACAATTCATGTTCCTAAACTTGGCACTTTAAGGGGTCATCTTTATTATAATTCCAATCTATAAACAAAAATAATGTACATATATACATGAATGTACATGTATGTACATGTAAGCATCTATATGAATGCTTTTCACAACATTAAATGGAGGAGGGGAGGGCTGAGCAGTCTCCTAACTGTACTGTTCTTTGATCAAACTATCCTCATATCTACTGTAGATTACAGGCTAAATGTGACATACCTGTAATATCCAGCCTATTATAATGTCTCTATCCTTTATTCAATCTATATTTGCAGTCATGGGCAAACTTGTTCACTCTGAAATACACATGTACTGTACATTAGATCTGCATGTTAGAGAAATCATATTGGTTTATAGCTTTGTTGATCATACATGTACACATCCGTCAAGTTGTGAATACCTCTGAAGAGTTTTTGTCTACCGGGTACATCTTTTCAAGAGCTGTTTTTTCAGAAATACTGGTTGGTTTTTAACATTTGTCTGTAACGAGGATTATAACATACGTTTTCTACATCATCAAGCCTAAAACAAGCATGAAATAAAATAATACAGGTAGGCATCGGGCCTGAAATCAAGCAAATTTGAAAAAATAACATCCATGTTTCTTCTTTTCTGGAGGTCACATGCCATTTATAATGTTAATTTTCAAATTAAATTGCTTTAATACTACAATTATAGTACCGGTAATACCTTTTCACATCTGTGTACACTGTGTACAGTATATACATGAACATGTATTTACATGTACATGTTTCAATGATGGGCTTTGTGAGAGATTAGCCCTGTAGTGAACAAGATGCTGAATACAATCTGCACTACCGGTATACGCTATTGTAGCAGCATTAACCTAGTTTAATACCTAAAGTTCAAGTTCACCGGCCAACGTCAAAACAATTATGAGACCTTGTCATTCTGTGACAATATCGTTCTATTGATGTACAGGTGTGACATAAAACAAACAATATATGCAATGATTACACCCGCTTAAAGGGATTATGTTCATGTAATCTGGTCAATAAGTGTGTTTAATTAACAAATCCAAGGTAAAAAATGTTTTAATCATCAAAATACATGTAAAAATATCTTGAAAAGTATAAAATGTATGAAATGCATACATGTAAGGTAGAGTTTGCACATTTCCAGGCAATTGTTGTAGAGGTGTACAGGTACATGTCAAAAACAACCATGCAATGTATCTTTCCAGTGTGTTTTTTTTAAAGTGGAATTTACCTCTCTTTGTGCTAGATAGGAGTGATTTCTTTTCTATCATGAACTTGTAAATGTAGGAAAATACCAAAATTACCTATAATTTATTCATTGAAACACAAAGTGTATCACATGGTGTAATATTCATTGGTTCTACTTGTATGTACAGTATATTGTACATCTCCATGTCCCAACCATCATGTACAGTTAACATCTAAATTATGCATACCCTTACCAGGTTGATTCATCCTGATCTACACGTGTACATGAATGTACATACTTTGATAGAATAAAGCTTAAATAAAGGTAGTCAACAAAGACTCTACTTTAACCAGCCCATATTTTTTTTCTTGAGTTATGAAAACACACCAAAAAAAATATACAAGAGGTATGAATACGATATTTGTTACATGTATCCTTCCATTGTAGTCTGAAAGGAAATGAATTGGAGCCTTAATCGTAACACAACTCAGTCTGGAAGTGATTTGAGAATCAGCGAGCATGTTTACCTTTTAGATCGCTCCCTCTCAATAATAACACATGTACTTTCACATCACAAGGTGTGAACAGTTGCAATCCAAACATTGTATAGGGTGTGAATGGTATTTGAGAACCCAGACTCGATAGTTCATTTCCCAGGTTCATACCTTGCAAAATACCACAATGGATATAATTGAAATATACATGTATTAAAGTGGTTAAACTAATACTATCTCATTAAAGTTTGATTTACATATCTCAAGACAAAAAATCTCAATTTAAAAATAATTTTAAATAATTGTCTGTATTTTTGTATTTCGTTGTTTGGTAAATAAGCCTACATGTAGATGGTCTTGACTCTTTACAATGGAGTTTAATACTGCATCCTGGCATGGTGTACTATGTGTAAGCTGTCCATGTACAATGTAGTCTCCATAAAGGCCTTTTAAAAGGCAACACTGTCTATAGAGGCCATGTATTGTGTCTCCATCAAAAAAGAAATATGTTGTACAAACTGTCACAAAGGTCACATATCTACAGTTGCTACTTTCTCTGTTTTCCTTGTGTGGCCTTAATAGACAGGTTTGACTGCACACTTGTACATGTACATGTACAGTGTGTATGTCTGGATATCAGTGAAAGATTGGCTGTAAGCCCAATGGCTATGACCCTAAAAAGGTGCAATGTTTTTGTACATGTATTTCTGTTGGCCTAATGATTCTTTTTTTCTTTTCTTTTTCTTTATCATGTAATTTGGGCATATCACCACAAAAAAAATCAGATGTTTTACTAAGAACACAAAAAATAATCTTACACCCGACTCAATTGCACTCAGTTGGAGTGCACATAATTCCCCAAAACAAGTCTCATAATGTACCCTTTCATGCAAGACTTCCATGTTTGATTGAATGTTTGGAAGAGAGGAGAAAAGAATTTGATGTTTGAGAGTAACAAATAAAAGTGTTTACATGATGAAGGTTACACAAATAAGAAAAGTTGTTCATGATTCATCATTAGGAAATAAGAGGAACAAGATAACAAGTTTGGAATTGTTCCAAATTTGATTGATGATATTTAGAATGAAAAGCCATTAGCCTCAGAGGATTATGATTGAGTATGGGTTGTTATAATGGACAATAGAACCCTAACCCTAACCCTGCCAATTCTTCTAGACAATTTGCTTTATTAGATAATGTACAAAGTACGATATTACATTCAAACATATATTACTTTTATTCATATTGACAGCATTATTAAAGCTTCCAAATTAAAAAATGGACATCTCAAATTTGTAAGAGCCTACTGGTATATTCTCAATCCCCAAGCATTTAACGTCTAGGCCGACATGTCCTAGAGGTACGGTTCATGGTATAAAGCCCAATCATGTAAACTGCCTCAAATTTAAAAAAAATTGCAGCGGAGGTATTTTTTCAGTATTTCATTACATCAAGTACACATGTACATGTACGAATAGGGTGTCACCCATTGCCCACAAGAACTGGATGGTCCTGTTTTAATCCTATGAGAATTAGTTAATTCAGTTGTTAATGGGTTAAGAAGGACTGATTGAGTGCTTACCTGTTGATGTTAGGGTGTACCAAGCGACTAATGAGTTGTATTTCATGATGCACATTATCCCAGTTATTCTGATTAGTGTTGATCTTAGCAGCCATCACCTGTCCAGTGTCTCGATGCTGTAGCTATACAGGGTGTCAAGAAAAAAAAATACTGATAAGTTGTATTTCATGATGCACATTATCCCAGTTATTCTGATTAGTGCTGATCTTAGCAGCCATCACCTGTCCAGTGCCTCGATGCTGTAGCTATACAGGGTGTCAAGAAAAAAAAATACTGATAAGTTGTATTTCATGATGCACATTATCCCAGTTATTCTGATTAGTGTTGATCTTAGCAGCCATCACCTGTCCAGTGTCTCGATGCTGCAGCTATACAGGGTGTCAAGAAAAAAAAATACTGATAAGTTGTATTTCATGATGCACATTATCCCAGTTATTCTGATTAGTGTTGATCTTAGCAGCCATCACCTGGCCTGTATCTCGATGCTGCAGCTCTAATATTTTAATCAATGAAATTTATGTAGGAGTAGTGAGATATGGAATATACATGTACATGTAGCTCATACCGGTAATTTTAAAGAGAACCCTACTCTACATGTACACTGCAGTAACAAAAAACAACAACATAAGGCCAAGTAACAAATATCCATGTTTAGCATTCCCGCCCGCTTCCTTTTTGGGGGCCGCCTCCTTTTTTTCTTCTTTAAATTTTTTTATTTTGTTTTTAATGTTTTTTTTTATAAAGAAAACAAACATGAAAAAACACTGCTAAAATGATCCATTTTTGATTTAGAAGAAAAAAAAATGCCGGCAGCCATCTTGAAAAATAGCCTGACTGCCAGGGAAAATCGAGTGGCCATTTTGAAAAGAAAGAAAAAAAAAAGGGCCTCCTCCTTCCTATTTTTCAAAAAGGCAGGAGGCTAAACATGTTTTGTTTTTTTTAATATATATTTGGCCTATTCATGAATAAAAATTATTACAGGCCTGGAATCTTCAAGAAAGGTTCAGTTGAGGATGATAAATTGTGCCTAAATCTATTCTTTCAAAATTACATTTGTATGGGCTGTACTTATTAAATGTACCTTCATGATGCAAACATTTCTTTTCTTTCAACACCAATAACAATCAACAATGCACATTTTATAGAAGCGCCCACTGAAATGTCAAGTGACTACCCTCCAGGTCTTGTTATTGAATTGATATGGTAATTTGAATTAACTCTCTCCAGCCTCAACACAAAGATAGTTCCCCTTCGGCATGCTTTCAAGTTTCAATGTTTGCATACATGTACATGAATTCTATTATTAGACATGTACAACATGTAGTGTAGGCCTACATGTACATGTACATGTATGGTACTGTAAATATCGGATAATAAAATAAGATAATAAAGCTCCTTGGGTGGAAAGGCAGGAGGGGGTGGAGGGGGTGGAGGGGGTGGAGGGGCAGAGGGGTGGAATTCAAGGGCAGGAGGGGGAGGGGGGGTACATGTTCAGGGATGTGGCCCTGAAAAGATTGTTATTTTTCATCATTTTATAAAAGAAACATACATGTACATGTACATGTACATGTATGCATGCAGAGCTCGACACTAATAGGTCCCCTGGACACATGGGCGCCTACATCTAGGGCTTTATGCATACCGGTACAGATTGTAAAAAGCTCATGCAATCATGTAGACCTACATGTACATTTATAATGTACATGTTTTTGTGACATATACACCTGTAACTGTAAGTTGAGAAGTAGCATGAACTGAAAACATACATGTAGCCAATGAAAGAGGTACTTTGTGTCTTACCCCCCTACAAAGGTAACCCCTGACATACAGGTGTAACCTTTCACCTGTAGGCAAGTGTGTATCCCCATGTTACATACACATGTACATGTATGTTGTCAAGTGCAAGATCAATTGATTCATTCCTTGAACTAAGCCACTTTATATAATGTACAATTGTTTCTACACTTTATGAAATCAGTTAAATCAGTTATACACGTACATGTACATGTACATGTAGCTTAAAGTTCAACAATATGTATTACCGTAACCTACATACTGTTAAACCCAGTATCACATTAAAAAGAAAATATCAAAAGGACACTGCAGGGCCCCATTTCACAAAACTTGTCGCCAGTGACAAATGACAGTTATTGTTCTAAGCTATAGAAATCCTTGCTTCTGATTCGTTATCAGCAGATTTGTCACTGATTTTTGTCAAGTGGCCCATGCCTGACATATTTTCTCCTGGCAGCATTGAAGATGGTACAAAGGAAATGAGCTAGATATGACTCCAGCTCTTAAAACTCCTTGGTTGAACACAGGGTGCACGAGGTAATTACGCATTCTAGTCTACAATTCTTTCACACATTCATGAGGTTAAAGTCTGTGTTTGTTTGATAACCATCTGTTGACATGTAAATAGTGTCTAAAGATCAACTCCTGTTTACACACGAGCATGCTTCATTCACCACTGTAACCCTATTAAACTCTGGTAATGTTACTCACGACTCAAGAGGTCTACCCACATGAACATGCAGCATAATCTGTAAACCTAACGTATAGACTATAGACTTGCATGCCAATGTAAAAGTAAACCTACATGTACAATCATAGGAAATGTATGTAATTATTTGTGATATATCACAATGAAAACAAAAAGCCTATCTCTTGTGGTTCGTGAGAAATTGCAATAGCAAGGCTAAAACCTGTAATTTCAGGTTGTCTTCCTTTGGTGATACATATTATCATTAAGTTTGAGGTGCATATCTCAAGTGGTTCTTGAGATATTGCATTATTGCTGGATGGACAAACAACCCCAAAACATAATAGGCCTGCCTTCACTAGCTCGAGATTGCCAAATATCAAATATAAATTTGAACTACCCGATCGCAAACTATCCAGCTAATTTGCATCTTCATCAGCCCGAAGTTGCAATTATCGGGATACAGTATTTGGTCGGGATTGTCATCCCAAGATATCTTGGGATAATTTGCAAAATATCCCACTGTTTGGCAAAATATCCAGCTATTTGTCCGATGCGTCTTCACCAGACCGAAGACTCGCACTATGCGCGAATGCTGAGCAAAATATCTCGAGCTAATTTCTCAAGGTCGAGTTTCAAGTTTCGAGGTTGAATCTCGAGCTGATGAAGACGCGCCTAATGCCTCCTGCACCACCTTTGTTGAGCGGAGGCAAAAAAAGGATGGGATTTTATTATTTGTATAGATATTTACAAAACATGTTTGTATGAAACAGAGTGTAAACAAGTTGACTTTGTGACCTTTAGAACACATCGTCAACAGCTGACCTTATAACCTTGCAAATGACAATGTATTCTGGGTTGCTAAGCCTCAGCGAACTCTGGCATACATGTAGAGTCCTACTGAAGATATGAAATGTATGGAACACTAGAAAATAACCCCTAAGGTGTATCTAACTAGGCGTACCTTGTAAACAGTGGCAAAGAAGCCACTTCCTATCTCCTCTTTGACGAAGTCGTCCAGGAAGACAATGTTCATGAGAGGAGATGTTCTTGCTCCAAAGACAAGAGAATTGTTGGAGTCTCCGGAGGATGTGCGGCATCTCACTTTCAAGTCTTGTGGTTGGGTGGAGTACCTCCGGTGAGGTTTGCCTGGGTGATGGGGGAGGGTCTGGTTGACAAGGGGTGAGGGGGCATCCTCCCCTCCTTCCCCTTCCTCATCTTCCCTCTGCGTGTAGAGGGTGTTACTGTTTGAAGAGTCTTCAGTGGTAGACGGCATGGCATCCAGAGTAACCAGTCTCACATCCGTTGTCATGGTGATGGATTAAAGGAATTACCTGGAAGGCTAGTCCAGTCATGTGATGTGGACTTTAACTGGAAGTGACTGTACAGAGAAATAAAAAGAAAGTAAAGACATTTAAAACAAGTTGCTTTCCAATTTTAACCCCCTCCCCCTAAAAAATGAAAATGAAAATAAACAGGGTATCAGTGAATGATTTAATACACATATTTTATGCAAACCAATATTCAAGAAGGACTTTGTTGTTCTTCACACTGTCACTCCCACTTTAGATCTATCCGCAGCTGAAGTCTGGATAAGATATAAATGTACATGTAAGCTGGCTGGCGCTAGGCCAGGTTTGTCAGCGCATGGGTGGCAAGGTCGCAACTTCTTTTCACTTCCTTTCTCCTTTGATTATTTCCTTTCAGTACAGGCTTCAATGCAACATCATTAAAGTACAACAATATTGCCTATAATGTACATGTACCATGCATACTGTACAAAGTACACAAATGTATGTCTTGCACTTGCACTTGCATTTTCAATATCATCCACACATAGAAAATGGTTATTTCAACACATTTAAAGGGGACTCACACCTCAAATAGTCTTTTAAAGAAGTTGGAGTTCCAGTTCCGGGCCTGTACACTGTACATGTATGTACATGTACCATGTATATGATAAAGGTAAAGACCAGTTTTGGAAACACAACCCTCTCAAAAAATGAAATGGAAGCTCTTATTACCAATCATGTGAAAGAGTATGTTTTGACTAATACGTGATCATACAAATTTTGCCGAGAAACCGCCTACTAATTGATATATATTGGGTAAATTATGACATCTATTTGGACCTGATAGATATACCGCACGTGTCGCGCACGTGTGGGGTAGTTCCATATACATCTTTCTGTGTACAAAGTAACAATGCTTGTAACTTCATCAAGACTGGGCCAAATTTCTAATCATTTTGATGATTCCAGAACCTTGCAGTACACGCTAGATGATCAACCTTTTCTGATCGATTCCACAACATTTCTTTCACAATGCAATCGCATGAATAAACTGGTCTTTGTCTTTAAAGATATCAGCTTCAAGTTCAAGTAGCACTTCTTTAAGGGGATCTTTTAAAAAAAATCTTCTAATTAGCTCCAACACCCAAATCACAAGGTAAAAATAACTTGCAAATTAATGTTGGCTATTGTTAATGCATGCATATTAGGCTATGAAGAAAAAGATGTTGTATTGCCCTTTGAGAATTTTTCTGCTACCGAGCTAAAGAATTGAATTACAATGTAGGGCCTACAGTACAGTAAGCTGCTGTCCTAAAAAGACAGTTCTGGTTTGGAGATGCAACAAGTCACCCAGTGCAGAAGTTATGATTGGTTTTGGAAAGGCCATTTTTTTTAAACATATGACAACATGCAGGGTCCAGGAAAGCTGATGGATTTTAGGGCTTTGAAGAGGCCCAGATGTGGCATTTTTAACACCTTTTTATTCAAAAATATAATTATCAATCATAATTTCATATTGATGTAAAGGAATATCGTCGCTGTTTTCACGACGTGGCGGTAGTGAAAAAAAATTGCATTCACTTTGCGTTACGATTTTCCTCACTACCGTCACTTCGTGAAAACAAGGACGATATGTACAATTCCTGGGTACAAATACATGTACACTAGATGTAAATTTATATGTAGTTATGTTGTGCAATAAAAACGGGAAATGTCGATTGGGCTCAACTTCGACTACCACTTTTTGATTGTGCTGAGTTTTTTAATTTAAAAATATATATATTTTTGTTTTGTTAATATTATTATTTTTGCAACAGCCACGTGCAAATCCAACTGACTGCGCACGCTACAAGTGGCACCACCTGCGCCGCCAGTTGAGAAGGCCTGGTCTACACCGAAGGGAGGCGAGTTGGCCCAGTCAGTTAAGCGTCTGCCTGTCGAACCAAAGATCTCGGGTTTGAATCCCACCCAGGGGATGAACTTAGCCTGCGTTGTGTGTTAACATGCCCCCTCCCCATGTTTCATAGACGCAGGCTATGTTAATTGGAAAACACTCCGTCCCTATGATAGGACGTTAAATACAGGCCCCCATGTAGAGAATTCTACCTTTGCATGTGAAGAACCCACAGCACTATTCGTGCAGTATAAGAGTAGGGGGAAACCCGGTGTAGTGGTCCACTTGCAATTGCACACCCCAGTAGACCCTACAGTATAGTACAACAATACTCTGTATTAAAGAGGGACTAGCAGGACCCGTGGAAAATCCACGGGATTCTAGGGGAGGGGCCAAATAGATAGATAGATAGAGGCCTATGTGCTATCCACAAAAAAAATAGATTATCTTTATATAGAGAATTTTTATAATATATGCTGTTTGACCATAAATGGCGCATCGTAAAACAAACTATGTCAGATAGGATCTCGATAATTACGATTTATTTGCATTATTAATGTTGTGATTTCAATGTAGTTTCATGAAAAGACTACATACATGTATGCAGAGGCTTGGATTATGATTATGTTGGCATTGTTCACAAAATGTGTACAATTATTTTCAAAGTAAAGATTTTACGCGAAAAATTGGACGGTTTGTGCACAAATTGACTCGACTGTGTGTGGGACTGTGAGCGTAGAATCCAGTGAAAGATTTTTTTGGGGGGGACTCGATCTATATCAAATTTTGGGAAAATTTGGTGGGGGGGCGGCTACTTTTTTATCTTTCGGGGGCTCATTTTTCTTGGGCTAATTTTTCATTAATTCATTTAAAGATGCAGTTTGTTTAGTTTAGTAGCGTAGTGTTACGTAAAAAAAGGCGTACTTTCTGCGTCAAGTTTCTACGTCGAAAGTACGCGAATTTTGTTAAACATATTAAATTGTTTGCGTCCATCTTGCGTACTTTTTTGCGTTCCTCAGGGTATGGTAACGTAGGCCAGCGTACTCTCAGCTCAGCGTAGTTGGTACGCAACTCTACTATATGGACCCTACGCCAATTAGTGATCGACCTGCCAGTGTCACAAATAAGGTATTAAAAATATGCTCATCTGACCGTAATTAAATGCCCAAAACCCCCGAGCTTTCGGGGGTTCAGCCCTTTGTACCCGTGGACACCACGCCTGCACTCAAATCGCTTTGAGTTACCTGACCCCCCCCCCCCCCCCATACTTTAAAAATTGATTTGATGCAAGAACTGTATCGTACTAAAAGTATTATCATGTTTTTAAACAACCATGACGACCGTCTGATTTTCTTGTGAAAACTTTACTTTGCTTGTGAAAACTTTACTTTGAAAAATGATTATCGAAATTCAGTATACAACTATACATGGCCAGAATAATCACAATCTAAGCCCAGGTTTCATACATCTATTCACGAAACTATATTGAAATCGGGGCAATATAATAGCAATTTCAAAGTGTTGTTTAGACTCTCCTCACACCACGGACAGGCCTGGCTACTCCGGTCACCGCTACTCCATGCTCACACACTCAGCTCCGACAGCAGCGCTCAGCTGCGGTGGCAAACTTCACTGTGGAAACTTTACTTTGAAAAATGATTATCGAAATTCAGCATACAACTATACATGGACAGAATAATCACAATCTAAGCTCAGGTTTCATACCTCTATAGTCACGAAACTATATTGAAATAGGGGCAATAAGAGCAATTTCAAAATGTTGTCGAGTCTACTCAGCTCAGCTCAGCTCACCTCACACACAGTCACAGTTCCGACAGTGCTCGGCAGCAGTGGCGCACTGCACTGCCCGTGCCTCACGGCAGCTAGCTTGCAACTGAACTGTCAGTTACGATACAATGAATTTCTTGTGAAAACTTTGCTTTGAAGAATGATTTTCAAAATTCAGTAAACATGGACAGATTAATACCAAAGTAACCCTGCTTGCATACCTCTATTCACGTAAACTATATACAAATCACGGCAATCATCATAGAATCAGAGTCGAACCGACTGAGCTGTGCGTGTGACGGTGAGCGTAGAATCATCGCAAACATTATACACGTACGTTCGTACACACAGCAGGTCCGCCTGGCCTACAAAGCATATCCTATAGAAAGACGCATAGCACGGGTAAGCTCAACCCGTTGAGGATACATATTGGCTACATCCCCTCACCCGGGTGAGTCTTGTGTTGATGTGTATTTCTCTTACATGCTACAAAGCGAACCCTATATCAAGAGGTCTTACTCGGGATACGCCACAGCTTTTTCAATGAGACTTGCTACACCCGTTGACGCGAGTGGATTCTCGTCCATCGTGTGTCTCTTCGTCTCTCTTTGATAATTAGAGAGAGGGCGGGTGCACGCCTTGCCGACTCGCTCTCGCGGGTTCGTCGCCTCCTCGCAATCCACGACGCCCGCCGTGCTCTCGTCCGCCCGTCCTCCCCGGCACCCCGAAACCGCGTTTAACGGCATGGACGTCGATCGCGGGGTCGACGTGGCACGCGGGTTACGGGAGACAGGCCTCGTGGAATTGTGCCACCGTTCCCGCGCCACGGTGGAGGCGGGCGGGGTCGGGGAAAGACGTTTTTGAGGAACCGTTTCGCCCCGTGTTAGACCCCCCGCGGCGATTTTGCGTATTAATAATATAGATGTGCTCAAAATGGAAAAAGAAGAAGAAGAAGAATCTCACTCTCACTCAGTCTCAGACCTAACTTCAGGGAGCTCCGACGCCAAAGGACTCCCTGGAGTTATCTCACTTCTTAGAACTAGCTGTCTTGCAGGTGAAATCTTTCACAAAACTATTTTTTCAAAGAATTCACCATACCAGACGGTTATTTCTGAACCTCACTTGCTAAAAAAGGGTCATTCATTATTTAATGGAATCATGGCTGGAAATCATGCTAAAATCCTAAATTCATCATTCCAATGTCAATTAAAATCAATGAAAATACTCGAGAGTAGACTCTCTATATTAATTAAATTTACATTGGGCACATTCGTAAAATGTCAAGAAATTAAAGCCCGTAGCGTAGGTCTATTGCATTTACTGCCTCTACCGAATGAACCATACGCAACACCGATGATACAGTACGCGGAGCGCGAGCGGCCAGGGCAAGCAAGGCGAGACCACAAGCGGGATC